ACTACTGCAACAACTTGCCAAACTCTGCTGATGGAAAATATGTGGTTTTTGTGTTAGACACACTAGTCAGCATATGTCTGCCTGTGTTGCTTAACCGTTCTTTATGTAAACTGGGCGCGTGGTTGTTGGTCTCTAGGTGTCAGCCCTGTGACAGACTGGCAATATGTCCAGGATGTACCCTACCTCTCATCCATTGTCAACTGGGACTGCACCCCCCCCCCCCCCCCCAAACCTATTCACGAATAAACAAATAAACGGTATAGATAATGGATGGAGTGCTCTTGTAACAAATCTGCACCTGTGTACCAATCTGTTATCTTTTACCAATCTATAGTCATATAAGAACATGATGTACACTGTGGAAAAGGTTTAGGCAATTATGTGTTAATTAACACACAATGATGAGTCAAACCCGTAAGGGATGCCTCTGATCGGTCCCATATTCCATCTACAGTATGACAATAAACCCAGTCATACAGCCAGATTCGTGAAATACCGTCATCAGAAACCTGGGACAGGTTAAATCCGGTAGATTCACCTCGATGCTTGGAACATCCTACCTGCCAAGTACGTTCAAATCTGCGCACAAAAGTGATTTTTTTTTCTTTATTTCACACTGATGACAAACTCCTGAGACTTGCAGCCCATATGGTTTTTTTCCGCTATCCGCCAAAGACCAAAGCTGCTAATATTACTGCAGATTTTTTTTCAGTCTGTTATAAATGTGAAAGCAAGAGGTGGGCTGGGATTGTTGGATAGCAGCGTATGACGTAGGACGTAGGTGCTGTTTTGGAGGAGGAAGTGAAAGAGAAATTCGGGGTAGCAGGTAGTTGGGTCGCTGGTTGGCAATTCTTGAAGCGACGTGCCAAATTTACACACTAATTAATCTGCCTCGCCTATTTACAGCTCGGTTTTCTGTGATTTCTTACGCAAAGAGGTGCTAATTTTTTTTTCTAAAAAACTGAAACGAGGCATTGCCAGGTTAACGCTAGCTAACGAGTTTATTGCCAACGAGCTAGCTAGCTAACGTGACGCCTCTGTAGCCACTAACGCTAGCTGTCCTGAACAATAACAGCTGATTAGCTCGCAGCTAAGTCTGTTAACGTCAAGAAGTCTCCGCTCCGCTGTGCTACAAGTTGAAAGTAAGTTTTTGAGACGACAGCCGGCATTTCATACGTGTAATATTTGCTCAGTCATTATGCGTTCAGTGACACATTAACGCTAACGCCTTAACAGGTAATGGTGGTGCAGTGTTGTTTTTTTTTATTTGACAAGGTTGGCAAAAACAAGGCCGGCCTGTAGCTCCTCTGGGTCAGCTCAAACGAGGAAGGAGAACCGGGAAGACGAGGTCGAACAAACCATCAAAAAGATGCCCGCTTCGTGCTGTCAAATGTTGGCAATGGGTTATTGATTTCTCTAGATACTTACATTTCTATTTGCCATTAATGAATACAGTGAAGGAGGGGTGCGGGTTATACAACCGTTTTACCTCAATACTACATATTTCTGAATGGTTAATCAATGATATGTCAGGGTTTTGGTAGCATGGCTCATCTTCCAACAGGCTGGGTGAAAGAAAAGTTTTACATTGTATCAGTATGTAGTGTTGCCAGACCAGGCAGTGTGTTTTGTTATTTGTTTTTCTGTGTGAATTAGTTTTTGTTTCGGTTGTGACTCGCGGGTCACGCAGTTGCATGTTGTTCCCTACGTGTGTTTAATCGTAGTTGCCTAATTTAATGATCAGATTGTGACAAGGACGCCAAATACCTACGCCAACAAGCTTGCTGGGATGTAAGCAGCAGTGTGTTCCCATTTCAGCACAAGTGTAGGATTTGTTAATATTCAAATACAATGTTTTGTCTGATAGTTGTCGTCATACTTGTTTTCCTTCCTTTTTGCATTTTGGTTTTTAAAGTCATAGATCTGAACACTGGATGCATAGAACGAAGACTGAAAAATATTTCTCCACTTTTGTTTTTCATGATTAATTGCAGTCGTTGGTAGCAACTGTTCCTACAGTTCGAGACTGACTCCGAAGTACCTGCGTGGTAGTTTGGATCAGCTCTACTTTGGGATTTACTGATATCCCATAATTTGGCACCAACAGACAGATTCTTCGAATGTAGTTCAGTGCAGCATATGTCCGTGCTGACTTGTCATGGTCAGCATGCCTGAAAAATGTTTTCAGTTAACCACTGTATTATACACAGCTGTGTCTCATTTTATGCTGCACAGTGTACTGGAGTACTTCACTGTTTATACTTGAATGTCTAGATTAGTGTGTAAGATCATGTGGAACTCAACCTTTTTGTCCAAAATATTTGCCTTTTTATTGCTAAAGTTCTGGAACTACAGTATGTCAGAAGGCAAAATGTCATGCTGAGTGTGTAACTATAGAAGGATAGAAACCCTTCTTTGACAGCATGGTTTTATAGAAATCTTTGGCTGCACAAGTATGGGTAGCACTTTAATTTGTGGGTATTGTTGCACTGTCTTGACTCTTTTTGCTGTCTTTTGGCCAACATCTGTTTATCACATGGGAATTAGCTGACCGTGAAACAAGAAGATAGCATAACTGAAATGGACTGAGCATTGAGAAGAATCTGACCTCAGCCTCCAGATCAATATTTTGTCCAGAGTTTATATGGATTGAGCATCAAGAAGAATCTGACCTCAGCCTCCAAATCAATATTTTGTCCAGAGTTCATTTGTCTGTTAGCATGCATATCAGAGGCAATGTGTGTGAATTCCAGCTTCTTGTGCTAGTGATTTACAGTCAGAGGGGAAAATGTATCGGGGAAACATTTTTCAGTATGACTGAAAAGTTAGATTGATAAATTAAGCTGTTTATCAGGAGTAAAAACACATTTTAGTACTAGGACTCTGTGCAGCTGTAATTGACTTTACTGACTGTTTGCAGAAGCGCAGGCAAAATGATGAAATGAACCTGTGCACAGTTATGTGAGCTGTTGCAAACTGCAAGAAATTGACCAAACCACCCATGAGACTCTGGCTGCTTAAAGCCAGTAGCACTCTTAACACAGTAATGCTCAATGTTCACCCAGACGTCTAATCATTTCACATTTTAAAATATTTTAAGGACAGTTTTAATAGTAAATGTATTTTGGTCACAGATTTTTCCTCAAAAAAAAGCATAGCAGTTTTTTTTTTTTTTTTTTTTTTTGTGCCACGAGATTGAATTCATCACAAAGTGCTAGCTGTAGTATCAGTAAAATCTTCCAATTAATGTTTTAATGAGACTGAACATCCTGTCGGAATATAATCTGTTTTGGAAATCTGACGCTCAGCAGTTTGCTGGAGGTTAAACATCTGAGCTGGGTGCCTTCTGTAATCATGTGACTGTGGTCTGAGCGCGCTCACACTTCATGATCTGCTGCTATTCATCCGACTGTCAGCTAGTGTATGGTAGTCATTGGGGTGCTGCTCTCGGAAATAGTGCAATTGCAGCTCCTGATCGAAACTGTAAACTGAATGATATGAATGCCTTATAAAGCTTAGTTTTATCTTGGAAATTTAAAATAGTTGTATTGTTTTTTTATATAATCATGGTACACCAGCAACCTGTGTGAGTTGGCAGATTGGCATGTCTGAAATGTCTTTTGTGCTTTGTGCATAATGTAGGTTGACTTCTATGATGAGCTTAAGTTTCCTTTTAAACTGTTGATTAACAGGTTATTGTGCTTCACTGCCAAAAAAGGAAGAACCAGAAGTAAATTATTTTCCCCCAAATCAATTACAAAATTGGTCATTAAAGAAATGTTTGTCAACAAAATACATAGAATATCACACTCGGATAATTTTTTTCAATTAAGTACATATTAGAGATGCAGTGATTTAATTTATTTGTTGATTGGCAAAACAAACTGGCAGCTATTTTGATTATTGGCTAATTGATTTATCAGCCAGTTTCTACTTTTCCTTGCTATATATGACACTGAACTGAGAAATTGGGAAAATAATCAGGAGATTAATCAGTAGTCGCCAGTTGCAGTCCTAGTACATACATGCGCTTACTTTAAGTCAGAGGTCAGATCATCTTCAGCGTATCTGAAACGGCGTATTAGGCAAGAAATTCCCATCAGACAGCTGCTACCGCCGCCATTCTCACAGATAGTATACAGGGTTGTCAGTAGCGCTATGCTCGACACAGATAAGATGTGTGAAAAAAGATTAAGCAGCCTCTTATGAAATCAAAGTTTATTTTAGTGTGTATAGCCTACTTCAGCATGGATAAGGTATACAGATAATCCCTTAAGACTGGAACTAGATTGGAACTTTTGTTTTGTTGCCCACCAATTCATTTTGTAATATGAGTGACCTCCTTGTAAAGTGGAGTCACACTTTAACCCTCCATGATGAAATGCGAGTATGACAGGAAGAATGCTATAGATAGAACATGAAATGGAATAATAGTAAACAGGCGTTCTTCCTCACCACCAGTGTGTCAGCACTGATGGATAAAAAAAAAAAAAAGTTTAATATTCAGCACTAACAGAAATGCACGGTGTGTTAAACTGTGGCCCAAATTCAAGAGTGAATAGCAGCGAATGCTCATGTTAACAAGGTAAACAAAAGTCTTCTTCTCATAGGCGTCAACATCCTGATTGTCCCCCATATGTTGTTGGTCAACGCAGCATCTTTGCTAGGCATTGTGATGGAAAATTACTGAGTTATGTGCTTTTGTTCTTTTCATGTAGTGTACTTTTGTTTCCCAGACTCAAAACTATGTGTCTGCATAGCTGCTGTAGAAACACTGTATGTATCGTGGCCTAGGCGAAGGGCAAATTCCTGTTTGACATTTTTTTATGTTATTGGTATATCTCAAGGGCCTATAAACACTTTCCAACACAAACTGGTCACTCAGATTGCATTACATTCTGTATGACTTGCAAGAAAAAAGACACATAAAGGCAACTTGGTTGTTCACTCTTTATTTCTCCACAAACTTGGTGTCAGAAGTGAGATCCCTCAAGTGGTCATCTAGGACACAACATGGACAGCAACTCATCATCCTGGGAGACAAACTATCCAGCCTCTACCTCCAATTGATTCGGAGATGAGAGGGCTGCCTGCCAATGCCCTGGATTGTCACGAACAGGAATTCGCGCTTCGCCTAGGCCAGGGTGTACCTTGATACACGCATTGTTTCTATGGCAGCTACACAGGCACATAGTGTTTAGTCTGAGAAACAGAAGTACATTGCATGAGAACAAAAGCCTCAGTAATTTTCCATCACAATGTCACCATCCACTGTGGTAAAAGCTGAACCAGATCCAACTTTTTCACCACACTGGGTTGTGTTGTTTTGCCAGAGGCTCCTGCAGTGAACACAGGAGCTGACCTAATGTCGGGTGTGATACCTTGGGAGCCGTTTATTTTAACATCAAAGAATATCATCCATGTCATTGCTCCTTGCTGACATTTCCAAAGTTGCACAGTCAACTTCCTCACTTTTGAGGAAATGGGGTTTATAGAAGCATTTCCTTGTTGCAGTTTCAACATTTTAAATCACACTAGTTGGATGTGGACAGTACCTGATTTTCTCACTTATTTTTTGGAGGAACTGATACACTTCTCATTTGAGCCTTCAGGAATTACACTGCTTGCTTAAATGAGGAACTTCTGTTTTTTTCTGAAAGTAACATCACATACCGTGTTTCTGACTGACGAAACAATGGATCAATGTAAAATTTGGCTTTGCTGGGAAAACCAGAATTTAAACTGTATTTGTACACCGATGCAAATGCAACTTTCAAGTTTTTTTTATAAATGCATTTGAAGATCCTATGTTGTCATGTTCACTTTAGTACAGTTTCATATTTTAATAAAAATTGGGACCTCTAGTTGTGTGAACATATAACTGCACTGACAGTATGACCACTATACATGGTGGTCAATTTAGGTCCTATGTTTTATGGTAAACAAAAAGTCATATCTGTCCTGTAGTTGCTGTGCGTTGTCTGCTTGGTGACAGAGACACCAGCAGAAAATGTCAGATGTGTCACTTGGTTTGTACTTATGGTATGGAGGAGGAGTCAGGCCTGTGTGAGGTCACTTCCCATGGTGAGTGAGAGAGAAGGAATGATGTGTTCCTTGTGATTTGCCTGACAGCTTTGAAAGCACATGACTGGAATGAGTTTTATTCATACTGATTGATCCAGTGGCATACGTACAAATGTGTAGACTGTTTTTCACTGACTTTGTATAGAAACAGATTTACTTTGGTACTGCTTTATTTCTTTGAACAATACAGATCTGGTGGTTAGGCTATAACTTGTAATGAATAAATTAGGACACTGGTGAGTACACTGTGTATGCTGAACTTTCCAGTGTATGTTTGAACTCCTCCCCTCTGGACAGCGTTACAGGTCACTGTATGCCAAGACAACCAGACACAAGGACAGCTTCTCCCCCCGAGCTGTCACTGATTAACACTTAACCCACGACAGTATGGACTGGACAATAAACCTCATTGCAATACCTTCCCCCAGTGAATTACCAGTAAATGTACATTGTACAGATTATACAGATCCGCACAGGTCTCTATTTTTAAGTACTCCGTTTTTATTCTGTTTTTCTCATTTCCTAATGAACGTTTCTTCATCCGTTTGCATTGTCTTTTGCATGATTATACTGTTTGCATTGGTTATTTTGTTATACTACACCTTCATCTGTTTGCATTGTCTATTGCCTGATTATACTGTTTATTTTGCATTGGTTATTTTGTTATACTACACAGCCTTATGTTGGTTTTTTTACTTGCCCCTTGCTGTTGCCTTGGTGGGGATATGCACAAGCACATTGAGAGCCGCTGTACCATAGTCAAATTCCTCATGTTCAACACACCTGGCCAATAAAGCTGATTCTGATTCTGTATTTTTGCTGTGTGTCCTTCTGCAGCTGTATAAAAATGACATCCAGGAAGAAAGTGCTCTTGAAAGTCATCATCCTGGGAGATTCTGGGTGAGTCATATGACATTCACATCAAACTCTGTAACACAGGATTATAAATTACTTGTCAGGTCTGTTCTACAAAAATAGTTTGGTGGGGAATCATGTAAATGCCAGGTTATTTTTAAGTTGAATCTACTTTTTATTCACTTTGAATTAGTTGCTTGTTACTTCCTTGTTGGCAGGAGGCATAGCCTTAAGCCATCACCAGGCAGAGTAAGAACTGTTCTCCTTACAAATAAAGCTCTTAGTGTTTTTATCCTACATGTCTTATTTGCAGGCATAATAGGACTTAATCTGCCATTTTTCTCTGACTGTTGGTGGCTTCCTAAACTGGGAACTGTGGGAATTCTATCACAAATATCATAGCTTAAAAGATTAGTAAGGACAATATGAAACTAGTGGAAACGGTGTTCAGTGTTTGGCTCATTCAGTCAAGTCAAAGCTAAAGTCTGTTACTGTCTGTGTTCATTTCTCCCTCAGTGTTGGAAAGACCTCCCTAATGAACCAGTATGTGAACAAGAAGTTTAGTAACCAGTACAAAGCCACGATAGGAGCAGACTTCCTGACCAAGGAGGTGATGGTGGACGACCGGCTTGTTACAATGCAGGTGTGGTACAGTTACAACAGGAACTCTTAACATCCTGTGAGGGATTGGAGGAGTGAAACTGTCAAGCATTTAATGCACACCATTAGATGCCTTCCAGGGCAATTTTTTGCATGATCAAGCATTCTGGTTTACCAAATGCTTTTTCCTCTTGCTTCTCTAGATCTGGGACACAGCTGGCCAGGAGAGGTTCCAGTCTTTGGGTGTTGCATTCTACCGTGGAGCAGACTGCTGTGTGCTGGTGTTTGATGTGACTGCGCCCAATACCTTCAAGACACTCGACAGCTGGAGGGATGAGTTCCTGATCCAGGCCAGCCCTCGAGATCCTGAGAACTTCCCCTTTGTGGTGTTAGGCAACAAGATTGACTTGGAGAATAGACAGGTTGGCGCAACTCTTTGCTAATCTAATTTCAAGTGTGCAGTTGTAGCCCTCACAGACTTGAGGATAGACAGTGAAACTAGGCCCACTTAAGGCCCACTATTAAGTGGATTGTATTTAATAGCAATCCATCTTTATTCACTGTGTTCATCTTATTATTTATGGCCTATACTGAAAAATATGCTAAGTAACATTTTGCTAAATATTCCAGGTTTGATTTTCAAAAAGGCAATTTTTATTGACACATCATTACAATTTTAAGCTCACTACAGTGATGAATCATTTATAAACGCAGGTAACCACCAAAAGGGCACAGGCTTGGTGTCAGAGTAAGAACAACATCCCCTACTTTGAGACCAGTGCCAAAGAAGCCATAAATGTAGAACAGGCATTCCAGACAATTGCACGCAACGCCCTCAAACAGGTGAGTTCAAGTTTCTTGAAATGAAAAGTGAAAGCTGGGATGGCTTTGTGACTGTTATTTTTCAGTGTAGTACAAATGATAGTTGAATTATGTCAAGTCTGTTGGTTTCCTACTCTGATTACTTTCTTTTTATGTCTCTCAGGAGACAGAGGTGGAGCTGTATAATGAATTCCCAGACCCCATAAAACTGGATAGGAATGACAGAGCTAAACCTTCAGCTGAAAGCTGCAGCTGCTAAAAGACAACTTGGACCATCTTCTCTCTTGGCTTTCTGAAAACACCATGTCACTGGTTACATCACTTGCTCCTCACCCCCAGGGAAAGGACTTTCCTACTGGTCTTCCTTCTTCATGCCACACTTCATTCCATAGACACATCCCCTCACACAGTATGCTGCACATGGATGCACCCCTCCCCCACTTAGTACACAAATTAATACACTGGCGTACTCTTATAAGATACGCTGACAGATCCAGTGCCCAAAGATCAGACGAGAAGAAAGATACCCCTACCGACCTCACAACCCCTGACCTGATAGTGAGGGATCTCTTGTCCCGCCACCTATTTGTGTGACTGTGGCACCGGACTCTTGCACCGAGGGGTCAAAATGGAGCCATGCTCAAAGAGTGCAACTGGGAGCTTTTGGATGGTCTGGCTGATGCTTTGTAATGTGAGACCCTGTTGGCTAACGTCAGCATCCCGAGTATCGTATTGGCTCTTTTGTTTTGTTTGCCTTCCACTGTCTACCTGTCAACTAATAATTAAGTTTAACTCTATAGATTATATATTTTAAATTGGCTGATCTTGTTTCTCAGCTCAATCTGAAACACTTTTTTGGGGAAACTTTCTTGTGTTTTTGCCATTAAATGTTCGAGAGGGATGACTGATTTTGGGCAGTGTATGCTACCGCATGCCTTTAAATGATATCTACTCACTAGTTTTCCCTGCCAACATGCCATGACATTGTTGAACGCTTTGGTGATTGTATTACCTTTTCCCTTCAAGGTTCTGTGTTAATGCCTCACACTGCAAAAGACATGTTCCTAAGCAGACCTTAAGTTAAAGCTGAAAATGCAGTTGCAGTGTATAACGGATTAATTCATTGAAATATTAATCTTTGCCTTTTATGTAACATTACCTGTACTGCTATTATTACTGTTGTATGTTATGTACTTCATCAGGCCTCTTTCAGTGCTAAGGAATATGTCACAAATACAGCCTACACCTGTCTTCTATCATGTCTTTGTTATTGCCGATCTCCCTTTCTGCTTGTAGCTCAGGTTGGCTAAGTGCTTAATATTTTTAATGGACTGCGTAATATAGTGTATAGATGGCAAAGGTTAAAGACTGATGGATTGAACAGAAATTGATGCTCTCTCTTTCCATGTAGAGAAAAGATTCAACTTCTTGCCCTGGTATTATTCCTCCTTAGAAAAATAAATTACTGCAATGCCAATGATGTTGGGACGTCAATTAATAAAACTTGTGAATATATCAGTGGTCTAGCATTATGTGTCTCAGTGCTGTTTTACTGGGATAATTTTTTTCATTTTCTTAAATTCAGATTATCTTAGTGTAATTTTAACTTTTCTTGGCATTTTTATGTTTTCAAGTCTGACTTGAAACATGGGAGCTGTGTGATGGTATGCACGAAGCCCCTAAAGAACTCAAAGTGTGTGTGCTTTTTTTTTTTTTTTTTTCATGGATATGGATTCCTAAACACTGTCTGCAGCTCTTCTCCAGCTGCATCCTGTAAGGACAGATGGTTGTGTCCTGACACGTGCCAACACTGATCATATTCATTTTTATAGGACTAAAATTACACCTTCTGGGACTTGCAGTATTTTGGCCGATTTGACCTCCGCTCAGGACTGTGGGTGTGTACAGATGGTTTGATTTTCATATCCTCTTGGGGAGAGACCACACCCACCTTTATGACTCACTGATTTCATATTTACTAATTAATGCACAGTCACAAGTTCATGGTGAGAAGTAAATTGATATTTTGTACACAGTGATAGTATTGCTACACCCAAATGTTAAATCAGCTGGAACAATTAAACACCTGTGTCTTGTCATAGCAGAAAATTCACAGGTGTTACTAATAAATGTCCTTGTGAGCCAGTATGCACAGTACCATGACACTGAAACTAAGCAGCTAAACTGAATGCAGCCATCGTTAATTTTATGATTTACACCTGTACTGTACTTTGCCTGCTGTGGAAAAAGTCCATGGTCAGGACACTGATCCCCTATAATTACAATTATTCTAAACTGCCACATAATATATTGAAGGCTGACTAAAACCTCTATAGGAATGAATAGCTGCGATAGCAGCCTTAAGATGACATATGTAGACCTTTTGCATTCCCATGATCCCTTTTTGACATGTCACAGCATGAAAAGCACAGATGTGATTAATAACTAATGATCACTGCATTCTCCTCAGGTGAGCCAGGGCTATAGGTAGGATTGTAGGGATACTGAGATCATTAGTCCAAATTCACCCATTAAGAGAAATTTCATAACAAACAGTCAAAACAAAACCCTGAAACCCAAATTGCTACTTAAAGTATATATGCCATTTTGGATGTTGGGGATCATTCTAAATTCCATTTAATTTTACTTATTGTGGCCTATAAATATTCAGATTTTAGAAAAAAAAATTGCAAATTGAATCAGTCAAAAAAAAAAACCCACAATAACCTATCTGTAAAAATGTGTGTTCATAGAATAACCTTCTAAACAAATTCCCAGTACTGAGGAGACCTCTGTGTCTCTATGGACAGCCCTGCCTTGTGTATGCTTTAATAAAAGTATTTGGGGCGGGGGTGCTTACAGTTCAACAAAGCCTTCAGGGCACACCACCTAATCCAGAAAGCCTGAATAATAAAGCATTTGATTATGCAAGTATAACATGCTTTATCTCTAATTATCTTATTTTTTTGTTGAGGAAAATACTGAACAATTTCAACATTTTTCTGTCATCTAAAATTATGTCTAATTACATAAATTGCAGGTTTATAACCATTATAGCTAAATTTTGAAATGTTGCTGTTTTATTTCTTTGCGTAAAAACTGCCACAGCAGCGGTTGCTTTACACTGGGAGCAACTCGGAGGAAGAGTGGAGTTCCGGTATGTTTACAGAAAAGCTCTAAGTCTAACTACTTCCGCCTTTGGCAGCTTCCGCTTTTAGCAGAGAAATGGTAAGAGAAATTATACATATGTGCTGTCAAACAGACAAGAGTTTAACAGTTACATACAGCACACCTAATCGATATTAGGTTGTTTCCGCTCCAGGATTAACTGCATCTGTTCCAAAGGGCGTATCTTAGGTTTTCCGCTGGTCTTGGTGTATTTATGCAAGTAGTAGCTAACAGGCTAGTTAGCTAGCAGTCAGGTAGCTAACAGGCTAATGTTAGCTGGTCGGTTTCCTAGCTAAAAGAGATAACATCTGAGATAATATAATTCTACTTCGTTATAGTGATAGAATGTTCCTAATCTGGAGTGTGGGTTTATATTAATGTTTTGTCACTAAGTGACGTTTAACGATAATTACAGTGATGACAAAGAAAGATGCATCCGGTGACTGCTTGGTATTAAGTGAGCAGATGGTGTGCTGGTCTATTTGTAAATGCTTTACACCCTGTTTATAAAGTCTGCTACGTCATGATTTTTTTTTATATAGATCAGCGCCTTTTACAGTTCTATCATTATTTCCTGGCATTTTTTACAGCAAGTGCATTTTGTAGCGCGACACTGATGCATAGTTTTGGACCTGTATACATCATAGCTGGTTGGTGGTTTTGATGGAGAATGCTGCTTTAATTATTCATTTTGATTGCATTATGTTTGTAAATGCTTTATTATGTCCCACAATGGTTAATGTAGGTGATGTGAAATTTTTAGTATTCTTTTGCAGTCACCAAACCAAATTCGTATCAGCTATCCTAATCTGACAATGAAGTATTGATCACCGACGATGGTGGACGGCAGTGGGCTCTACTCTGGAGACATTTAAAATATGTTGGTTAATCGGAGTAATAACATACACATATGTGTTCAGTTTCACTTTCTCATGTAGAATTTCAGGAATATTGCGGTACAAAATCGTATAATATGTGGTATTGTATGTGGCATGATTTCTACTCGTGTCAGACATTTCTAGAAATGTGTTTACAACAGGTAAGTTACAAATGTATAGAGTGTTCATATTGACAGTGCTCATCAAGATGAACTGCTGGTTGTGTCATGTGAAGACCTAACAGAAACAGTCAGTAGCCCATTCCATGTCAAGACCCAAGACAGCTAAAAACTTTATACTTTATCAGATGAAGAGTAATGAGGGAAGAGTTTGTGTTTGAAACTAGATCCACAGTTTTGGTTGCACCTACATGTAGGTTCAGATTTACCCTACTTCAGGAATGATTCTTATCTGCTCTTCCCTGCTTTCCTTTCTCAGACAGCAACCTTGCGGCCATATCTCAATGCGGTGCGTGCCACTCTGCAGGCCGCCCTTTGCCTAGAGAATTTCTCCTCACAAGTGGTGGAGAGACACAACAAGCCAGAGGTGGAAGTACGGTGAGGGTGACGCTGCAACTTTGAGTGCCATTTTGCATGGCTAAAACCAAGTAGAGTATGAAATCCAAGTTGTCTCAAAATCAGAATTAATCGTGTGTGTGTGTGTTGGGGGGGTGTGTGTGGTCACTTTCAGGAGTAGTAAGGAGTTGCTCCTCCAGCCTGTGGTCGTCAGCCGCAATGAAAAGGAGAAGGTTCTGATTGAGGGCTCCATCAACTCTGTCAGAGTCAGTATTGCAGTGAAGCAGGTCAGTCATGCTCTAAACAACCTGCATGGTAACTGGTGACTAGAAAGATTAAAAAAATTAAAGATTAAGATATTAGAACTCTGTTTGCAACCCTGACAACTGTTTACTCCAGTCTGTTGTTTCTGCTGCTGCAGGCAGATGAGATTGAGAAGATTCTGTGCCATAAGTTCATGCGTTTTATGATGATGAGAGCAGAGAACTTCTTCATCCTGAGGAGGAAACCAGTGGAGGTTAGTAGAAATGGTTCAGTCACACTGCCATGGTTTTCAGATGTACTCAATATACAGTTTGCCCAAAATGTCCTGATAACCAAATACTTGTGTGGTAAAGAGAATGCGGAGGAAAAAAAAAAAGAGAAAATGAGTTTTTGTTATATGAACTGTAATCTTTATAAAGCCCCCAGATATAGTGTGGTTAAGGTGTCATGGATGACGTAGGGCTTATATTTTATTTATAATGCATTGTATGACCTTCATTTAAGAGTTCTTGAATGCCTCTTGAATATTTGTTTGGCTGTTTAATTTAAATATCAGTCTTTCTCCAGTATTGCTGACTCCTCTTAAGTTATTACATGCATGGGAAATGCCCTGTAAAATGATTTGTTGCTAATAGTAGAGAGAGCTGTTACTGGAGGTTATTTTATGTCTTTACTCTGCAGTAGTGATGGTCCAAATTGAACAAATCAGTACAGTCCTGTATGGGTCTAATTTTAAAAGCCCGCACCCACAAAGCTCTGTATGGGACTCGACCCGTTACCCAGAGTTATTTCTAAATGAAATCCAGCCCCACCCATCCCATTGACATGAGAGTTGGAAAAGTATCTGTTGATGGCCACACTACCTGGGCTCTGCTGCTGTTCCCTAGTGAGGCTATCAGATGCTAACACTTCTTGGCACTTTTTACATGTAGCAAAGCCACTGATAACGTTGTTCTCACAGTCTAACCACACGAAATTGCTCCAGTACGTCCAACTTAGCCTTCAGTGATGTATTCACAGCTGGCTATCGTTGCTTTTAGGTTATCCAGTTTGATACACTGATGCCTAGTCTACATTGATGTGTGAGTGACAATAAATGTATTGGTTATTTAGGCTTCGTAAAATGATGCTGGTTTAGCTGTTTAAAAGAATCTGGACTTTTTATTTATTTTTGTAATTTACATAGTTTATTTCACTGGCTATCTGCCTGCATTTGGTCTATTTTATACCCGTCCTTGTACCCCTGAATTAATATAAACTAGTGCTGTCGATCGATTTAAAATACTTAATCAAAGTCCAACACATACAAAGGCTTTCACATTCTCCTGTCTACTCACCTTTTATTTGATGCCAACCTAACTACCGGCTAAATAAATTAAAGCATTTCAACCATAGTGTTAAAACACACGTGAGTACTGTTTGACAAAGTTTTGCTTTAGGCAGTGCAGCAGGAGACACATTTTACCCTCGAGGTTCACCATAGCTCTACATCCTGCTGCTGCTGCTGCTGGCGCCTATTCAGTAATCAGTATCAGTGCAACTCATTCCACTGATGCTGCTCGTACAGACTTGTTCTCCCTCGACACTTCGTATTGTTAGCTGTTAACCTTGGCTTGTTAGCCTATGGCTATTGTTTACCCTCGGGGCTTACCATAACGTCCTGCAGACACTGTACAGTATTACACTCATACCGTACACATAGTGTTTGATATAATCATTGGACTTTTTATAGGATGTTATATGATCTGTTATATAATAGAGTTAAATATGATAAGCTATTATTGCACAACATAGGCTATAAATGTGGTGAAGTGTATCTTATTTGCTTAAAACAACAATATCACACAATAAACCATTCTATGATGCTGTGAAGGATCATCTAAATAAAGCAAATATGAATGGGAGGATTAAAACATGCTTTACTTCCAGGTGATACCAATCAGGCAACACACAGCTTTCCTGATGTGTAGTGGCCATAAAGGTGTATGTACTGGATACTGAAAAACTGGAAAGGTTCGAATGATGTTGCTTAGTAACCAGTACATACACCAAGTAATCAGAAGAATCGAACTTTATGGCACTACTCTGCAATCAAATAAAACTTATATGAGAGAAAATCTTTGGTATTGCCAAATATATACTAATTGAAATCAGATGTGGCAAACCTTTTTCAGGTGAGATTACACGGATTAATATCAAGCTACTCTTTAATTAAGAGGGCATGTTGAGTATTTGTACAAATTATTTGATATTTTTGTCATTTTTTTCATAGTCTTTTTTGATTGTTCCTCCCATACTGGCATCTTTTGCTCCCTTAGTGGGGACTTTTGGGCAATACAGTTTGGCTCTGTCATGGTTGGTCCTCTTGAGGCAGATTGTTTTAAGTCAGCCAGATTGAAACCACTACTTAAATAGATACATGTGATGACAGCATCATTAACACTTCACCCATTTTTTTTTTTTTTTTGCAGGGCTACGACATCAGTTTCCTCATCACCAACTTCCACACAGAGCAGATGTATAAACACAAACTGGTGGACTTTGTCATTCATTTCATGGAGGAAATTGACAAGGAAATCAGTGAAATGAAGCTGGCTGTCAATGCCAGGGCTCGGATTGTCGCTGAAGAGTTCCTTAAAAACGTAAGTTGTAGTTTTTCAGCTTTTTTCCCCTGCAAAATTAGTGGCTTGTTTTCACATTATTTCCGTATTAGTAGGAGTTTTAAGTTGTTGCAGTTTGTATTTAGTTTACTGCTTATTACTAAAACTGTTTTATCATTAATGTAAAATCTGTAATACATATTCTTCATGTTTTAGCTCTGAGGCTTAGACATTTTCTGTTTTCCACTTGCAGTTCTGAGAGGGAAAACCCAGGAATACATTCCTTTTTCAATGTTGACCATCACTGTGGAGTGTTCACATCACAGGGCAGAGACAAGAGATGTTAGATTCAGCCAAGAGAAGGTGACACATATAAGACTGGTCATTGGGGTTTCACCCTTTAACCTTAATATATTCCTGTGCTCAAAACGGATGCATAATAAATATTTACATCAGATATTAATTTCCATCTTTAGAACATTAGAAGTCAAGGCAGGTCCTTAAAGATATTTGAAATAAATATTAATGAGCACAGGGTAATATGGAGTTTCAGATTTTTTAATATATACATAGATATATTATATGCACATACATTTCATTTTGCTGTTTTGTTATGAAAGACCTTAAACCATAATGGCAATCAACTGGTGCACATTTGTTATAGTACACAGAGTAGACCCTATTATAGATAAAAAATAATTAAATTTGTTGCCAGTGAAGATAAATAAAAACATTGTCCTTTGTATTTCACAGATTTTCTTTTTCCTTCTTTAAATCTCTTGTAGTTTTGAGGCACAAACAGTAGCTCTGTCTTCCCACAAACCTTGAAGGTTTATTGACAGCTGAAGACAAGGCATTTGGGATTATATTTAGTGCACATATAATTATACAATATCAAAAGTATAATATTATACACAGTTCAAAAAAAAAAAAGTACATACCATATAATACATGCTGAGTTTAAACAGTACCTTAATTTATATTCCTGAATAAAAACATATGTTCATTTGAAAGATAAAACAACTGATCAGCCATAAAGTTTAACTAACATACTGAATCTTGTAAAAAGGAAGAAAAAAAAAAACTGCCCCCCTAAAAAGTAAAAAACAGGTAAGGAAGACTATATAACAAAAAAAAACAATAATGTGAATTTGTGTCTTCTGAAAAGTTTCTCAAAATTCAGGGATTATTACAGGCTTTGTGCAAGAGCAGCTTTAGTTTTAGTCTCTTCACAGTATAAAACCATCTTCAGAAGCAGTGGAAGCATAGTTCAGTGACAGTAGAAATGTAATATTAATGAAAGAAGATGTTGCAGGAATACTGCAACAAAAAGAGTAGATGCTTAGAAAACGTAGTTCAGAAAGAACTAATGACGCCTCTTGGATGAGAGGTGAAACATCTTCTACCTAAAACCAAGTCCAGATGATTTTTTTTCTACATTTTTTTCAACATACTATGACCTGGATGACTGAGAATTTGCACGAAAAACAGTAGATGCGCATGTATAATAGTATTGGCATTTCATAATAGTTTTCCCTCACTAGGAATCAAGTTATGGTAATGGTACAATAACATTTACAGATCAGAACAGCTGTAGAAAAATGAAGGATACTCAAGGAAAGTGCTTTAGAGTTGAAGTCTGAGAAGATACTGATTTGTCCATATCAGTGAGGAAGCTGCCATAGTAAGCAGCTGAATAGCACAATTCACATATAGCTCTTTGGAGGTCACATGAGGTCTGGAACAGGAAGTGCAGGGGATTAGAAGTGAGATGGGACTGTTTGCAGAGCATCTTCTGTGCTGCGCTGCACATTCACATTCTGTAACAGCAAAGAGTGGAAAGCAGAGTTAGTCTGATATTTACCTTGGTACGACTTTATTTTATTTACCAATTGATGTTAGTTCATTGAATGTTGATGTTCAAATCTTCAACAGTAACAGTAAAAAAACAAAACAAATGTATTGTTCGGATACCTTAACTTGTGTGTCAAGTACAACAAACTGGAGTATTTAAATGGTATGATTTAAGATTTTTAAGTAATGAGCGATAAGTTAGTTTATTTTAAGAGGTAGATTCTTGAAGCTGTTAAAATGTGGTTTGGGTCTTTTTTTTTTAAGCACAAAGCCATCTAACTGATAATGCTTAAACAGAATAGATATTTTCAGTTTTAAGAGCCAATGCAAAAGTAAGTATATTACTGTAATGCCGAATGGAATACACTACCAGTCAAAGGTTTGGACACACTTTCTCATTCAGTTCAATGGAAAATTGTGTCCAAACCTTTGACTGGTAGTATATATTTTTAAGTCTTATTTAGAGCAATAGTCGTGGTGTGTGAAATAGCAAAATCACTCATCCTGTCCATGTTGGCCATTTAAAAGCTGCCTGCCTAATGTGCTTTGACAGCTCTGTTGCATAAATAGTATTCAAATGTTTTTGGACTTAGTTGAGACTTTAGGCTATGATTTTTATTTGTTTATTGCAGTGATGGAACAAAATCCACAGCCTAAAAACCTCACTTAATTCACTGGGAGAGCTTTAGGAAGGGATCTTTTAATGGCCAGTATGAAAAGGAGACATGATCACAGCAGGATGATTTGTTTCGATGTTCATCTGATATAAAAAGCTGTGACATAAATGCATTCCCTTAGCCCCACTCACTATAACATCACAACTAAGTCTGATTTCACACCTTTCCTCAGCCTAATTCTAACTCTAACCTTAAAACCAAGCCTGAACCTTCACGTTCTGTAAATGCATCATCATTCTCTTTCTGCAGTAATTTAAAACTGAAATTTGTCCTCACAAAGATAACTGGCACATGCCACTAACAGATGGGTGGTTTTTATCCTGAACCTGATTTCAGTTCCAACTAGGGGTGTGCAATATATCTTTTCCAAAATAATATCTTATTGTTTTAATGATGTGTGAGCATCGAGTATGTCACTTACTTTACAAAAAACAATCAGAAACAAGCTTGGAGAGTCCACACATTCTGTGTGTCATTTAGCCCAGTAGGATAGACTACTGCATGTGCACACAGTGTGTACATGATCACGCACGTTAAGCTAACATAGCTGCCTAAAACTCCATTAGTGGAGTTAAAAATGCAATATATGTCAGAAATGAGCTGCTGTTAAAAATGATGCCTTGTTTCACCATCTGCAAACTAACCACCACACACTATGAAAAGCTTCGACAGTGAACTGTCCATGACAGGATTAAACCAGCCAAAATTAATTTCATTGCTTCAGTTTTAAAGTAATGAAGACCCATGTTCCTTAAATATGTTGTTTCCATTAATATTATTACTAAGCAGCAACACTATCTTATTAACAAGAGTGATTTAGTACAATATAAGGCAAACACATTTTTGCAGGATCTAAAATATCTAAACACACAGGTATCATTTTGTGTCAATATCACACACTAGTTCTAACAAAGATTTAAAAAAACCAGCATGACGCTGCCCATTTCTGCTCCCACAGAGACAAACATGATGTCACAGTTTTGCAGTTGCTGTCAGGGATCACTGATGAGTGAAGACTGAACATGACATCCTCTGTGTGATAGGAAGAAAGGGACGGATCAGAACTGACTGCTATTCCCGTTTCAGGAGGGATGTGCCGCTCCAAAACTCATGACGCAAAGTCTCACATGGTTTTATACACACAGTATTATCTATGAGGGATGCTCCTGACTGAGCTGTAGGTCATAGAGGAGGTTCTACCTGTAACCCAATGAGGTGGATCACTCCTCAAGAGAAATCAACTTTTCATGTCTATTGAAAGACATTTGTGTTTCCTTACCTCAGGTTTGTCTCTGTGTGTGTTCACAGCATCCACGCCTAAAAATACAGACTCCACTTCTGTGGGGGGGGGGGGGAGAGATGGGAGAAAAAAAAACAGGATAAATTAATGCAATGGATGGGGGCTTACTTTCCAAGTTATCTTTGGTCATAATATTTGACTTACTTGAGGTGGCAAATGAATATGGAAGAGGATTGGAGCCACTGTAAAAACTTAAACTGTAAAACTTAAAATTGTGGTTTCAAATTTAAAGTCAGATTTCTGACTTTTTTCTCTGAATTCTGAGTTTAAAGTCTTTTTTTAACAGTGGCCATCTTCCATAAACAAACTGCAAATGATATTTTTTAAACTCAGAAGAGTGTTCTTTTTCTTCCTAGACAACGTGCTATTACAACAATATATAGATGCATTAATATGGATGAGTTAATTTAATGTGACAGAATAATGGTGATAGTCAACATACAATAATATATAAACTTAGAAAAGTTCCAACTCACCGTAAGCAACAGGGGTCAGCTTCAACACTGTGTGCAAAGAACACTTGAGATAAGGCAACTCCTCTGTGGGGACAGAGATGAAAAGTTTCAAAACATTTAGGTTTAACGGTCAGCGTGCAAAACATTTTTAAAGCTGAATATGAAGCATGAAATGTTGCAATTCAACCAAAGAGAATCAAAATAAATAAAATTAAACTATTCTGATATATTAGTGAAACACCTGCAAAATGTGAACTCATTTTAAATTCTGCTTATATTTCCTCCTGCAAATCCTTCATACCTGCAGTTTTGTCCAGGAAATATGCAAGAAGACAGCGCATGACAGCCTGGTGGCAAATGACCAGAACGTTCTCCTGTCTCTCCAGCTCCATAATCACAGGCTCCAGTCGCTGCACCAGGTCTTCATATGACTGAGAAACATCACAGACCAGTGAAACACACAGTTCTAAAGACTGAAAATCCGTTCATGCCTAAAAAGTAATAATGAGACATCTGGAGGAATCACGTTCTGACCTCTCCTTTAGGGTAACGGTAGCGATACTTGTCTTGGTCTCTCAGTGCAAACTCCAGAGGGTAATGCTCCTGGATCTCTTCATACATCATTTCCTCACACACACCCTTTGAAAAGACAGGAGAGGATGTGTTTAGCTGAAGTACACAAATGCTTAAAAATGCGGCTGCGTTAAGTCTGACAAACACAGAAACCGACATACGGCATCTATTTCGTTGAGAGTCTTCCACTGTTCGTATGGCACTCCCAGGCACTCGGCTGTCTGGATTGCTCTCTTCATCTGGCTCGTCCACACCTTCAGATCTTTGATGTTCTGCTCTTGGATGAATTTCCTTAACCTTCTGGCAAACTACAAGGTAAGAAGCCATTGCAGGGCTATACTTCAAATCCATACAATAAAATCATTGATTTCTCTTTGTATATATCCATACTGACACATCTGATTTGTACTTGCACGTGACCTATGCTCTCGTTATGCAGACACACTACATACACAAGCACACACCTCTTTTCCTCTGGCAGACAAGCCCGAATCTCCTCCAATACGTCCCTTGATGTTGAGGTCACTCTCACCGTGGCGACACAAGTAGATAGAGCGTGGAGTAATGTGGATATTCATCAGATAATAGACTATTCGGCTTTGGATGTGGTCAAGAACACGGTTCACCAGGTAACGCCGGCCCACGTCCATGATCTTTATGTAGGATAAATCCCTGGGGAGAGAAAGTTAGTTAGCCAGCGGTGATCTTGAGGCGCTGATTTAATCTGCCCTATTATGCTTGTGTGTTCGCACCTGTCCAGAATCTCGTCCAGAGACTGGTAGGACGACTCATAACACTTGATTCTATTCATGAAGTCCTCAATGGCCTCCTCTGTGTTGCAGTGAATGTAGTCTGGGCTGCCCAACTTCACTTGCTACCAAGAGAGGAAACACAGAGAGAGTATGTGAACAGAGAAAAGGGAAGCTGATACTGCTTTAGCTGTGTTTCTAGATAAGTTTCATCAAGTGAATCTGAACCGGAGCTACATACTCAGTGCTTCATCACAGACACCACTCCCACAGGTCTAATTTATGGTCTACACCTTGGCTCTGACAAAGATTTCATATTACCAAATCCTGAGGTAAACTGGATTTGGACACACTGTTGCTATGGAAAGACCCAAATGCTAATGTTTTTAAAGCCTGAAGTGAAATGTTAAAGGAATAATCCAGTATTTGGACAATACACCCATTCAGTCAGAACAGAATCAAGACTGATACTGCTCTCATATCTGAATGCAAAATAAATGTACCATCAAATCCAGACTATTGAGCGGTGCGACTATAAGCCGCACCCACTAAATTTAAGTAGAAAAAAAAATTTTGCACATATATAGGGCGCACTTGTCTATAAGCCACAGGTGTCCACGTTGTAACATGAGATATTTATACAGCTTTTGTCGTCTTTTTGGATTGAGTCAGTTCTTCACGCTGCCTTCTCCAAAGTCTCACCATCCATTCATTGATGCCAGGCTTATGTGCAGCAGCTTCCTTCTTTGACAGCCAGATCGATCGCCTTTAAATTGAAAGCTGCATCATATGCATTTCTTTCGTGCGTTTTCCAGAATGAGGGTGTGTGCATGAAGCACAAAATGACTGATCTGAAGAATTCAGTGAGTGCATTTGATTTAATTTGAACAGTTTCATTGGTCCACTGGGACCTGTTCAGTAATTTCATCTGTCTGATGTGACAAGGCTAAATGTATTGGCAGCATGAAGCTTGTTAGCCCGTAAAAATCCATAAATTAGCCACATCGTTGTTTAAGCCACCGGGTTCAAATCTTGTGAAAAAAGTAGCGGCTTATAGTCTGGATTTTAAAGTACATGTTAAAGTCAGCAGATGGTTGGCTTAGCTTAGCACAAAGACTAGAAAGAGATGCTTTGTTTTAAAGGTCTCACTTGCATAAACTATTTCTGATGTTTGTGATTTTTTAAAAATTATTTATACCAGAGAATAAAAAAAAAAAAGATTACTTACCACTATATTTTGTGCAATTATGTCTTTGTCATCACACAAAGACTCCACAAAAAACACCTGCATTGACAAGACAAGACAGTCAACTTGGGGGTCATCAAGTTAAGAAGACTGGTTGAATGTGATAAAGCCCTGGCTCAGCTCACATACCTTAAAACCATTCTGCTCAGCAAACTTGACAATGGTTGCTCTTCTTTCTCTTGTTGTATTTGTGGCATCGAAGACCTATAGCAGCAATACAGAAAAAAAAAAAAACACTTACTAGACAGCCCTGGCACATATTCACTGTATGATTAGTTGTCATCCAGATCTCAGGGACCGTGTCGAGAACTCACCGCCACATGTCCTCCTTTGACACTCAGGTACTCCCTAACATCATTGAGTGCTGCCATCGCACACTGACTGTTGAAACACAGCAGACAATGGTTAGGCTATGGCAGCCAAGACAAAGACATCCAACACACACAGTTTATCAAGTAGCTACACCTACTGCTGGGTTTTCATTTCGGCAGAAAAGCAATAGCAAACCCTTTCAACCCTAATAATGTATGAAAATAAAGAGAGTCATGCTTGGCTTTCAAAAATTAGAATAGTTAGAAAAATTCAATGTTTGATAGAGATGGAGACACATTGCACTCAATAAGTTGACACAGGCTCTTACTGATGACAGAAAATGAAGCAGTGCAGTAAAATATAAATTAAAAATTAACAAATGTCATGAGGCCAAGTGAGCTTTTAAAGCAACTTCTACAAGCAGCTTCCTTCTGCTCTTTGGCCTTTGAGATGTTTTCTCAAATTCTGACGACTAGTACCCATTCAGACAACTGACCCTACTTATTTAAAGAACTACTAAAAATGAAACCATTGTGTGTGGACAGACAATTTGGGTAACATCATTAGTAGTCCCAGAAACAACATTTTTATTAAAGGATGCACAGATTTGCTTACTATTGAACTATCTGAGGCTGTGGTAGAAAAACATTACACACATTTCCTATAGTTTCTGCTCACTTTGCACAAATTGTGCAAGAATTTGCTTGATTTTGTATAAAGATAATCAGATTAAATTTAGTCTCCACTGCGTTAACAATCATACACATACAAGAGTGTAGGATACAGTGCTGTAGTATTATGTAATACTCTATAAAGTGTATAGAAGGGGTGAACCGTGTGCCATAGAGAGCCAACAGTCTGCAGGTTTTCCTTCCAACAGACCACCACAGCAGGTCATTTTTACAGGCGAGCGCCTCCTCACTTGCTGAAGGAGTGTTTATCGCAGAGTGGCGTCTTTGGTTGCTGGCTGTCAGACTTTTGGCTCATCATAGCTCATGTTTGGCCTCACCTGCATGACACAGGTCGACAGCTATGGGAATCAGCATACACTCACCGTCTGACTTTTAGACCTTCTTCATTATCTGGACTGAAAAACTCGAAGGACTTGTAGATCTTCATACACTCCCTCCGATACTGGCCAACATTGAACTCTGTTGCAGATAGAAATACAGTAGGTTTACAGATGGATTATAGCTGGTTTCTACTGCAAAGTTATATGCACTAATGTATGTTTTGGGAAGCGCGGCTGGTACCTTTCGTTGACACACCAATCCAGTTCAAGTAACGAGTGAGCTTCTTTGAAATATAAGTCTTCCCCCGGGCTGGAAGACCCACAGTCACAATGAGAGTGGGGCAGTTTGTCATACATACTGAAAGAAAAGAAGACACACCAACATTTAATACATTTATCTCACTTCATGCACATTTTTTTTGCCGAGTATGGTTTGTAAACATTGTTCCATTCAGAAAGAATTCAGTTTTGGAGGTTGTCTATAATTATGCTAGACAGTGAGAACACTTGGAAAGATTTTAGCCCACTCTGTGTGACAGTAAATTCATTATTACAAGATCTGAAGCTGTGAACTGACTGAATTAAAAATAGGAAAGCTCGATGCCAGCTCTTAAAGAGCCCATGGCATGCTTTTCCTTGTTTTCCGACTTATCTACAATGTTACAAATGTGAATTATCTCGGCAGACGTGACCTAAAGCTCAAAAAATGAGGTGCATGCATGTTCTAGTACTTCTGTGCAGAAGCAACTCAGTTTATACAAGTCTTGCCAACTCTCGTTTGTGAGACTTATTTTCTAGCAATATAAAGTATTACATGATGGTCTGAATGGTCATAATCTCCAAGCAGTTGCATGTTCATCCACCTGAACCATTGTAAAAGCCGAATTTTTCGACTGCTCCTGGTTTTGTGGATATATTTTACCTCCTGCTGCCGCACTGTGACCAGAGGATGTGGAGAAAATTACAGGGCCTGAGATTACTTCATGTCCGGGAATGTTCCTATACAGGGATTCACTGTTTTACCTGACCGGGCCTAACCTACAAGCAGCGGCCAGTGAAGATACAGCTGTGGGACATTATCCTCATATTCAGAGACATTCCTTATGTCACAATATGCAACAAGGAGTGGCACCAGATAATTAGAGAAAAGTTGAAAGTAAAGTGGTTTGCGTCAGACTGTAGCTGACACCATAACTGCAGTTTGTTTTAAAAGAACAGCTTGAATCATGGGGAGAAAGACAGAGGAGCAGACCTACTGGCAGAGCAAAAACAACTGCAAGAAACTGGAAATCAGCCACAGACATGGAGGACGGAGGGGGCTCGCTCAATTCATTTGTGCGTGGTTACAATTTCTGTCTCCAAACGCGATTCAAATGTGCCTCCGTGCGTGATATTAAGATAAAAATTAGACAGACGTGCTGAGCATGATGCAACATAGCCAAACGTGAAAAGGCAACACTGTCTAGCATTTTATTCGGGGATAACATTTCAAAAGACAGACTGGGTTCAGGAAAACATACAAAAATACAACAATATTTACAAAAAATGAGAAAGAATCGCCTATTAGCAGATGCCCCACATCAGCTCCCCGTCACATCCTGTGCTGCACACGCCGGTCAGCTGCATCTTACCCCGTCTCTGAACTATGTGTCCGTTTCTGCACGGCAGCCAGATCTTCCTGAGCGGGTTCTGGGTGAGCTCCCGCGGGGAAGGATCCAACATTATTTCTTCGTTGTCTAACATCTTGGATGTTTTGTCACTGATGCTGACTTCTAACAAACTGACGGAGAGCTCTAGCCCAACTGTGTTATCAGCTGGCTGCAAGGGGGGGGTGTCACAGCAGTTACCGTAATGACTGGAGACTAAGCCCAACACTGGCTCAGGGAACAAAACAAAACGGCTCGGTGCAGAACGTACTGTACTCGGACAATATACTATCACTGCCCCAGTTAGTCTTCTCAATAATTGCTACTTCATGTTATCCTACAGTGATCCCAGATAGTTATTACACGCTTGTACTTATAAACTGTAAACAACAACATGGAAGGAAAATTTTATCAGTAATGACAACTGTACTCCAAAGATATTTCTATTATCCTCTTAGTAATTCATTAACGAATCCTAACTTAAGATCTGTTTACTAGATTTTCCAGAGTGGAAACTTTGTAACTAAATAAACATTGTTAAATCTAGATAAAGATAGGCATTTACAAGCAAACCATTTAGCAATACATTCAAATATACCATTATTCACATAAAGATACATATTTGGGAATATATATTAAAGTGGGAGGTTTTGTTTTTGTTCATTTTAAAGTGCAAACTTTGTTGTATTTGCTGTCTTTTAGACGGATGTATGCTTGACATTTAATGAATCCCCTGTCATGTGCCTGAGACAAACGTATTCCGTGAAAACTTTTCACAAACATTTCCATGTTCCAAACGATAAGCAGATGTACAAATTGTTCTTTCTATGGAAACACCTTTAAACATTTTACCGCAATGACACGTAGATTGAGCAGGTGAAATTTGAAAGCATATATTAGCAGAAAAACAAGTGCTGAGCTGTTCACATGCAGCACGCATGGACAGTGAATGCAGCTGGGATCTAAGCCAATCGGAGAAGAGACGAGACGCCTGGCAGCCAATAGGAGACGCGAGGGAGGATACGGAAGGTGTGTTGAGTTCTGGGAGCGCAGATGAACATCACGATGAAAACTACTGCTGCCTTAAGTTTTACACGAACCTGTCACGGGCCCCACAGAGTCACGGCCACGCATCCTTCTTATGGGCTTGTAAAAGTCATCAACAACTCCATCAGGGGCACACACACACGTATATATATATACATGTGGAATGTAAATATTTGGTTCCCCAAATTTTTCAATCACCTGTTATTACCCTAGGGACAAGAAAAACAAAAAATATTTCCAATTTGGTGCAACAACAAAAACCACCAACAATAATAATAATAAAGGTAAAAATGATCAATTTATGCCTGCAACTAAACATTAGTGTTATTAATGTGCTTAATTCTTTTGCAGTTGTGGTTTACTGTTTACTCTTTATGAAGTTTGGCTGACTAACCAAGTAGTCAATAAACACAAAAATAGTCATTTAATAATCAATTAGATAATGTAGTATTTTCACTTTCAAACAAAACCAGCAAGTTTCTCAAATGTGTTTAGTTCCCTTTAGTTACTTTATTTTCCTTGCTTATATACATTACAGCCAATGTTCCCTCTAAGCTGCGCGCTTGTGCAATCGCGCACTCCTCCTGCGTTCTACGCGCACAGCAAATCTATGCAGCGCATAAAATAAAATCCAACCAGGGGCCTATTTCAAGAAGGCGGTTCAACAAACTCAGAGTTCAGGCCTGAACTCTGAGTTGACTTACTCAGAGTTGGAAAACTCAGAGTTTTCGGTTTCAGAACAGCTGAAAAGAGTTGGTTTAAGCAACTCTGAGTTGTCTGACTCAGAGTTAGGCGCGTGCCACGCGACTATAAGAAGCCCTGAACAATGGAGTGAAGAAATTACGAGTCACCATGGCAACAGGACCAAGCCAAAATAGGTCTGCGTTTTTCCCGACAGAAATGGATGTGCTACTACAAGCATATAGTGACTACGAGCCCATATTTCGTAAGAGAAGCAACACGGTTGCAGCGGCGAAAGAGAAAGAGTTAGCTTGGGGGAAAATAGCTGCCCGAGTCAATGCGTAAGTTTACATTTTAATCATACAGTATTCGGTGTAAGTAATTACTAAATAATGTTAGTAATGTTATTATTTGTCACTTGTAAAGTAAGGAATGGTTCTTAATTCGTCAATAATTTAATGAGTAACGTCAGTAATTGCATAAAATGCCGATTTTTGTACGAATTAAAAGTGCAGTTTTATGTCTACCCTTGCTTAAAATTCCTATTGTGGTTGATATGGGATTTGTAAAGTAATGATTAATAAATAATCCAGTACGTTTTATGGAGAGTAATTATTACATTAATCAAAATACCTTTTTTAAAATGTACCCAAGACTGATGTAGTAATATAAGAATTGTATTTTATTTTTCATGTAGGTGCAATCCTGCAGGCATAAAAAGAACGTGGCAGCAGCTAAAAATGAAATATAAAAACATAATTCAAACAGGTAAGGCTTGATCATATCATGGGTGTAGACTACCTGACTCTACAAACATTTGACATATTAAATAACTAAATAGCCTGCAGAGTATAGCAGTGCAGCAGCATTTTCAACATGGGTGTAATGTTGTTTTCATACAATTAAATCATTTGACAACTACTCAGCCAACAGAAAGAAGGCAGAGGCCAGAAAAACTGGTGGAGGACCTGCACCACCACCACTAACACATGCAGAGTACAGAGGAGATGGCCCTCAGCCTGAGCACTGGAAAGCCAGTGGCTGAGGGAATTCCTGGAGGGAGTTCATCAGAACCAGTCACTCCCCAGGATACAAGTGCATTCATTACATGTAAGAGGCCTACCTATATATTCTATTTTTTACATAGGCTACTTTTGATATATCCATTTATTACACTCTGGGTTGGGTTTTTTTGTTGGTCTTAACAGATTCTGATGGTAATATCTGCCTTTTGGAGCCTCCTGTCACAGCAGAACCCCAGGCTGTTGTAAGTATCCTACTAAATAAAGCTTAAATTATGATAGGTAGTATTATAAAGTGTACTCTAACCAAATGCTCGTCTTCATAGGACTATGAGGATAATGAAACTATGTCTGCCACAGAGAGGTCTACAGAGGTAATATTAATACAGTGTATACACATCAAATGATCTACACATTCGGAGTGCCAGTGTTTGTGTGAAGTAGCCTAAAGGATGTAAATCTATCTCCAAGTATACTGACATTATTATCTCCCCTCTGCCCCAGAGTGTGGAAGAACAGCAGGAGGAGGGTCCGTCAAATGCTGCTGCGCAGATGAACACAGTTCAGTGATGTTCAGTAAATGCCAGAGTTGCAATCTGTAAAATTAATGAGGAACTATGTCATGTAACTAAATCTTCTGTATTTACAGTTACCAGTTAAGGAGTTGTATAGAATACATCTTATTAAAAAAATAGAAAAAAATAACAAAGAAATGTTATACGTGGACCGCCAGATTGAAAAGACAGATCTAGAAATTGAAATTCTCAAACAAAAGCTAGAGGTGAGTGTATAGTTACAGGTGAATTGTATGAATTATTGAATGAATTGTGAAACCTAACAATTGCTTTTGTATTTGTAGGAAATGAAGAAACCCAAATAAAGTATGATTTGCATTTATTCCGTTTCTGTCTTTCATCGGTGGTGATGGTGGTGGTTGTAGATTAATCCCAGAAGACATTACGGCATATCCAATCTCTGACTGCCCTTCCATCCTGGTTATCTGCAGGGTGGATGGGGTCGTCCTCAGGGTCTTGTATTTGTAGGGCAGGGTGTTGCTCCCCTCTAATAATTGCAATATTGTGGAGAACAACACATGCCACAATAATGTCACAGGCCCTCTCAGGTGTTACCCTGAGGTGACGTAGGCAATGAAAACGTGCTTTCAACAGGCCTATGGTCATTTCCACCCGGGCTCTTGTTCTGCAGTGTGCCACATTAAAGCGCTGCTGGGGGCCTGCTGCAGGTTCTGGGTAAGGGGTCATCAGTGTGGGCTGGCATGGGTAACCCCTATCTCCCAGCAGAAAGCCATCAATCTCTCCTATAAGAAAGTTCACATCACTTTAGTGCTGCATAGAAGTGCTCCTGTAAGTGTGTAGTGCATGCATTGAAATAAGTGTATAGGGCATACATGTACTTACCACATTGCAGCCTGTTACTTAGGGTTGACTCACGATATATTCGTGAGTCATGAACAGAGCCGGGCCACTTGGCCTCCACGTTCGTGATAATATGTGAAGCATCACATATGATCTTGGCAGTGCAGAAAATGATACATGTCAGGTACAGTATTGTGATGTAGTCTTTGACCATTAGAAAGAGTAGTCAGTGTACCTGCACATTAATACTGTGGATGGACCTCCTGTTGACATAGTCCCCTTCATTTTCAGAAGGTGCATTGATGGGAATATGTGTTCCATCAATGCATCCAACCACATTTGGAAATCCTGAAGGGGATTCTAATTATTAGTTTATTTCCAGAGGTCACAGCAAGATGTTATTAACTGATCATCATTTTTCAGATTAGCCTTACTGAAACGAATTCAATACCACTAACCTGCAATCCTGTGAAACTCCTCTTTAATGGCTCTGAGGGGTTTGTGCCCAGGAAACACAACAAAAAATAACTTTTTCCCTGACAGAAATGGATGTGCTACTACAAGGATATAGTGACTACGAGCCCATATTTCGTAAAAACAAAAAACAAAAAAAACAACAACACGGCTGCAGCGGAGAAAGAGAAAGAGTTAGCTTGGGGGAAAATAGCTGCCCGAGTCAATGGGTACGTTTACATTTTAATCATACAGTGTTCGGTGTAAGTAATTACTAACTAATGTTAGTAATGTTATTATTTGTCACTTGTAAAGTAAGGAATGGTTCTTAATTCTTCAATAATTGAATGAGTAACTTCAGTAATTGCATAAAATACCGATTTTTGTACGAATTAAAAGTGCAGTTTTATGTCTACCCTTTCTTAAAATTCCTATTGTGGTTGATATGGGATTTGTAAAGTAATGATTAATAAATAATCCAGTATGTTTTATGGAGAGTAATTATTACATTAATCAAAATACTTTTTTAAAATTGACCCAACACTGATGTAATAATATAAGAATTGAATTTTAATTTTCATGTAGGTGCATTGATGGGAATATGTGTGCCATCAATGCATCCAACCGCATTAGGAAATCCTGAAGGGGATTCTAATTATTAGTTTATTTCCAGAGGTCACAGCAAGATGTTATTAACTGATCATCATTTTTCAGATTAGCCTTACTGAAACGAATTCAATACCACTAACCTGCAATCCTGTGAAACTCCTCTTTAATGGCTCTGAGGGGTTTGTGCCCAGGAAACACAACAAAAATTCACAGAAAGCGCTTGAGGGTGAGGCACACTTTCCGAACTATTCTACATACTGTGGCCTTACTTGCTCTGCATCCCCGATGTTATAAAGAAAACTGCTGTTTGCAACAAGTCGTAACGCAACACAAAGCATCTGCTCGGATGTAAGAGCACGGCCACGATGGGTGATGTGTCTGATGTATGGGTGGATAAGATTATTGATATATGTTATGGACTCTCTAGAAAAACGGTACCGCTCAAATAAAAATACATGGGGATATGACAAAAAATCAACTTGTGGCCTCAATATCCTCTCCCGACGTAAATGCAATTCCCTGCGAATTAATACAGCGTCCTCCTCTACAGGATCCTCTATGAATGGACACGCCATTTTGGTCTCTGCGTGACGGAAACGTGTGCAATCTATGAATGTACTGAAAGATTAAATGAGGTATTAAACACCTTTCACTTTAAAAAGGGGCGGAGACCCGGAGGAAACTCTGAGTTTCCCGAACAAAACCTGCTCGCCAGCAGGTTAGGTTCACAGAGTAAGTTGCCGTAGTAACTGACTCTGAGTTTAGATTACCTCTCTTTGTGAAACGGGTTTAACTTACCCCGTTTTCACGGGTTTAAGTTACCTCCGTTTCTGAAACCGAAAACTCCGAGTTGCCCTCATTTCGGGGTTAACAAACTCTGAGTTTCGACAAAACCGCCTTCTTGAAATAGGCCCCTGAACTACAAATAAAATAAACACATAACAATGTATTCTGTACCACCTTTGAATTTGTGAACTCAATCAATGAGATAGTGCAGCATGAGACGATGTTCAATGTTAAAAAAGCACCCTGGCATACCCTGATAGTAGATGAGAGCATAGACATAACAGTGCACAAAATGCTAGTCCTATATATTAAATACAGGGAGGAAAATGACATCAACTATAAAACTGTGTTCGGCGGCATCGTCCAGCTGACAGCATGCACTGCTTACGATATTGCGCAGGCAATCACTCAGTTTTACTCCAAGCATGGACTGGACTTGCAGAGAATGGTGATGCTGACCTCTGATGGTGCCTCAGTGATGCTAGGAAAGCACAATGGAGTTGCAGCTTTATTAAAGCGGCAAATACCACACCTAACGGAACAACATTGCGTGACCCATAGAGAGGACCTGGGCATTGATGATGCCTGGAAAGATGTGCCTTTGATGTGAGATGTGGAAACTCTTCTTAAAACTGTATATTCCACTTTCTCTCGGTCCACTGTGAAGAGGGGCAAAATGGAGGATCTACCAAAGATACTCGATAAGGATGCACTGTCATTCAGGCCTCTGAGCGAAGTGCGATGGCTGTCGCGGCACCAAGCTGTGAATGCTGTTCTGAGGAACTACACTGTGCTTGAAGAATACTGCAAGAGAGAATCCAGTGATAACAGAGATCCAGTGGCAAATTACTGCTACAAAAAGCTGAGTGATTCAAAGTTTAAGGTTACTCTCACTGCTCTGGGAGATGTTTTGGGGGAGCTGGCACAACTCTGCCTTTCTTTTCAAAGACGCAACCTGACTGTGATGGAAGGACACTGCTTTGCAAGAGCAAAGATTGAGAAGTTGCGTTCCCAATACTTGAAGGATGAGAAGGATGTTCAGTGGAGTGACCGTGTCAAAGAGGTGATGAGGACCTCATCAGCT